TACGAACAATTTCTGGCTTATCTTTTATTTGCATTAAAAAATATTTACACAGCACTGTGAATGGCATGAAGAGTTGTTGCACCGCACCGGGAGCGGGCGGGGGGAGGGGTAGGGGGAGGGGGGCACGAGCAGAGGGGATACAAAGTCAAAAATGTTAACAGTGGAAGATTTTAACCAAAACGGTTTAAACTATAGTTGCGGGCAACTTGAGGCTAAATGAGTAGAAAAGTTAACGAACAGAAAAAAAAGTGCACAGTTGTTCAAGTGTTGGAAAGTTCGAGTTGAACAGAGCGCTTGCAGTAACAGCAATGTTAGTTACAGTGCGGCAATGTTAATAACAGCAAAGTAAATAACATAACAATGTTAGCAAACAAATGCGAAGGCGAAAGTTAAAGCTAATAGAATCAGTTTATTGAAAAGTGAAATGCAGATTTGAACCATAATAAAGGGAGGCATTAGTTCAAAATTTTGAACGATATCGAGAATATTTTATATTTGAATTTTTTAAGTTATTTTCATCTCTTCAAATGCTGGAAAACCTTTTGCATAATTGCATTAACTAGCCGCGCATAAAGTTGATGTCTTCTATGTGAGTTTCCCCTTCCCTTCCCCGCCCTCCTCTCCCCTCCACTCAATAACCAATTTAGCTGTTCTTGTTACGCCTTTGACTGCCTCCCCCCCTCTCCCTCTCCTACTCCAACGCAATCATTAACATCGCTTGGCAATTGGGAAATGCGAAAAGCGAATTGGAAGCCGTCGTTGTGGAATCCCTTTGGGGCAGCCATAGACAATGACAGCACTTAGAGACATCAAAAAGCAATGCAAACGATACCCAACAACAATGCTCTCAAAGTGAACTAGTTCTGTGACTCAGCCCACACCCCCTCCCCCCTCACACCCCCTCCCTCTCCCATCATAGTCATGCTGTCAGCCCCTGGGCTAGCAGCTACTCTTAACCATAATGCCAAATGCTACGCCCTTTTCATTTAATATAAAGCAATTTTCCTCTCAAATTCACTTCAATAAACAATTTTGGAAAGCACACACACACCAACACACACACACTCGCACACACACACATTCGCGCACATCAAAAGCAAACAAAAGCGCGCGACTTTTGAAAGGTTCCACCGCGAACTTGTTCCCATACCTTCTGCAACCTTCCTACTCATCTTTCGGGCTGTGGAGGTGGAATAGTTAACTACGGAAATACCCAAGGAAAACTGACTTGAGATGAGGTAATCAATTTATATAACCACATCTTTTACTTTCAATTTCAATTGAATGCGAAGTTCTTGGTTCTTAAAGATTCGGAAGCCTTACTCAGGGTTTATCTTATTGGGAATTAGGAATAGCTTCTAAATGAACAGTTAGAAATTTAATTATGTTAATAAAAAACGAGAAAAACAGATTCATTAGGCATGCCAAAGATTTGATACTCTTTTAGACATTTTCCTCTCTCTGATAAGTGAGAAAAGTTAAGCTCGTAAGTGCAGACCTGGATGGAAGGATCTTGGATCTTGGAAAACGGATAAGATAAGATGATAAGATCTCGCATATATATAAAAAGCATAGTAAAACTAATGCATTACGAGCCTGCGAACAAAGGTTTCTATACCGGAACCCACTTTTCCACCGATCCATAGGAACGATCGCAGCTATATGATATAGTAGTCCGATCCGGCTTGACATATTCAAAATTTCAAGACAATAGCTTTAAAGCTGAGGGACTAGTTCGCATAGAAACTGACTGAAAGACAAACGGACATATCAACTTGGCTCCTGATGCTGATCTGGAATATATTTACTTTATGGGGCTTGGAGATGTCTTCTTCTATGCGTTGTACATTCCAATTCAAATTTTGTATACCCTCTACAAGGGTATAAAAATGCCTGCAACTCTCACTTTTTACCAATCCAATAGAATTTCTATTTAATTGTATATTCCCGTCCTCCATGGTCACTTGATTTTCGTCTGCTTCTAATTTGTGCTATTTGATTTTTGAGTATGTCGAATTTTTATTAAGTGACAGCTTTTGGCCGCCTGCTGTCCCCTCTGCTCTCCTGCCCGCCCCTCGCTTAGGCTCTTGGCAATTATTTAAAAACTGTCAACTGTGAAAACAACGCGTGATTCACACGAAGCTGGGCCAGAAGAATTGGCAGGCGGAGGACGAAGCGCGTCTGAATGGCAGCTGTGATCGGAACTGGGCTCCGACTAGGAGGAAGGCATGGGGCTGGGCATGGGGCATGTGGCACGGCTGCTGCACTGAAACTGTAACAGGCTAGGAGCAGGGGGGGGAGGGGGTGGCAGCTGTTTTGGCCTCGACTTGGCTAACAGGCAAGTCGCCCGTGCGTCGTCGAGGCTGGGTCCTTGTCGAGGGCTACTTCATGCTGTTGACTGCCGCTGACTCGTTGTCTGTCTCAAGTGGCAAAAACTGTGAAACGTTTATAAAGCACACACACACAGATACACACAAACACACACGCACACACACACACACGTACAAACTTGACCCAATTCGGGCTGCGTGTGTTTATCCTTGACGCTGGTGAAAAATGGCGTTTATGAAGCGCTTATTGTGTTTGGTTTGGTTTTGCGGCGCTCGTCCGGCGCCCGCTTTTGAGCTGCTTCCGTTTCCGCACTTGAATGGCGTGCGCCACAATGAAAACCAGGACAGACCCCCCCCGCTCCACAACCCACCCCTTCCCGGATTGTTGGCATGCGCCGCTGCCTTTGTCCAGTTTTTGTCGCACGCGGCCCGCGCTACAGCCCCAACTCCGGCGCATCCGAAACATTTTACGCATCTATTGGCAGAGGCGTGGCTGTGGGTGTCCCCTCTCCACTGTCCCCTCTCCACTATCCCCTCTCCACTGTCCACTGTCCCCTGTCCCTTGGCATCCTGGCAGGGCCACTTTGACAGCAACGGGAAGCGGAAGCGGAAATTTCGTGCCCATGCGTTTTCATTTTTCGTGTTGACGACTGCCGGAGACGCTGCCGCAGGACTACTGTGGTTTCTCTCCGGACAGAGGCAGGGGCGGGGTTGCGGGACATGTGTGAGTATGTTGCTTGTATTTGTGCTGGCAGCCCGCCCCCTTTCGCTCTAGCCGCCCCCCTTCTAGCAGCAACCGCAAGTGCTGCGAAGTCAAAAAAACAAAAAAAAAATGAACAAGAAGTGGTTGACTTTTCCTTGGGACTGGGGTTCGCTTTTGAGGCCTGCCTGAAGGTCCTTCCTTTCAATTTTTTTTCCTTATTTTTTTTTAAATTATTTTGTAAACTTTTGTTTCGATCTCATTCGTTTGATTTGTGGGCCTGTCCAGCAAAAGGGAAACTCTGAAAAGGGGGTCAGCATAAGCGAGTCTTGCTGCGGCACGCTACGTTCTGTCGGGCTTGTTGGCAAGCAGAGGAAATTAGTTCGCCATAAATAGAAGTTAATAGATTTATAAATAAAATATCATAACTGCGCCGAAATATGGGTGGACTGACTCTATTAAAAACGTTTCACTCGTCAAGCGCCATGGTGGAAGTCTCTTGCTAACGGAAATGTATTTGATTTTCTTCGATTGTGCTTTGTGCGATATCCTTAAAGGTTTTACTGGCTTTGGCTGGCTTACTTTAAGGCCGAAAAGTTTGGTTTGTGTAGAGATTTACGAGCTCTCAGTGGAGCTCAAATTGAAACAATATCCAATATTTTGATTAGGACATCAGAAATTGGACTTTGATGTTATTTGAGCTCATACGGATTCCTACTATCGATTCTCAACTAATCAAATAAAATATCAATGGTAATATGCATCATAATTTGATACATCAGATTGGTTTTTTCTGATGGTTTTTTGGTTGCTTTTCCATAAGGGGAATTCTAAACATACTTTTCGAGCCCCTGCCTAATTGTTATATAAGTCCCTATATACCTAGAGAACTTTGATTTTATATTATTCTTCAAAAAAAAAGATTAATTTGGGTGAAATTGAGAAAGTTTTCTCCCTAAAATAGAGCTCACAGGAGATGTCATGAGAGTTGTCTCCAGGCTGATCTGATGCCCATATTTTATTTCCATCGCTCATGATTTATTTGTGCAACTTCTACTTCCCCTATTTCCCTGCTTCTGCCTGCTTACAGCTCATTCCCAATCTCCAGTTGGCCGACTCTCAGCCATGTCTCGAGTATCTCATATCCCATTTCAAGAAACATTTTTTAATAAAATGTAAATTATGCGTCCTCGTTTGATAAATGTCCATTGAAAAAGTTTTTAGTTCAATGTGTTCTCTTTGTTTTTGGGTAGATGTATATACATATTGTATATATATATATATCTCCCTCTTTCTCCTTTTTTTTCCACCTCTCATTTTGTTGTTGTTGCTGTTTTTGTGGCTTTTCAGTGGCTCCAATATTTTATTCATAGTTGACACGAAATGCGTAACAAATCGTTTCAAAGTCGATGCTTCGATGCCGGGGCATAAAATTTATAGTTCTTGGCCTGCACACGTCGATGGGCGAGGGGCGTGGCGGAAAGGGGCGGGGAGGGGCGGGTAGCTGGGTGTACGGATAGCTGGGAGTTGTCTCCAGGCTGATCTGTTGGCCGTTGTTGGCTTTGTTGTTATTGTTGCTGCTGCTGCTGGCGCTCAAATCAAAAATAAATAAATATAAAACCAGTGACAGGCTTGTAGAAGGGGCGGGTGTTGGGAGGGGGGAGGGAGGGAGGGGGGCGTCAGGCAGTGGGGATAACTAGAAGCAGCTGGGCTAATAAAAAGCGAATTTGCATTGAATTTCCACGCACGTCGTCAGAGAAATGTGGAGAGAGACAACAACAAAAACAGAGAAAAAGAAAGAGGAAGGCGTTTAGCTGAAGGCTGTGATCGAAGTGCAAATACCCTTTAGTAAATGTGCGGCCAGATATTAAAAGGGAGAGAGAGAGAGAGATAAATATGTAATATTTAAAAGGATTTAGCCTTGGGCTGGGCATAATCCATGCCGAAAAGTAGTTAACTCGGAGACTTACCCATAATCCTCCGGTTATGCCACATAAATAACGTTTAGTCCTAAAAAGTTCTCCGGTTTACCGTTACTCAAAACGTACATAGCCCTAAAATACATAGAAATAAATTAAAGATATCTTTAATAGCATTTAGACTGTCTTTGCTTAAACCTAGTTGAGAATTATAAGAATTGCCTGATAACTAGAGAGCAAAACCAAGGCAGATGCTTATACGGTGAAAACTCTACTAACGGACACTCCTATTAGACGGACAGCCTTCTTGGGCGGACAATAACTCTCAAACAATTGGGAATCAGACCCAATCCATTCCACCTCCCTCACACACACTTCTTGAACAAATACTGGACAAATATTGCCCCCTGTTCGCTGTCCGCCTAAAAGAATTTTCACTGTATATTATATGTTCTATGTGTATGTTCTTAAAAATAGTAAACTTTATTTAACATACTATAAGTTAAGCGAATTCCAGAAGTTGAAATTCTACAGAGTTTAAACTTTGGTAAAAGGTTTTTGAATAATATATATTATTACATATTTAATGCAGAACTGGAAACGATACAAAACTTATCATTATAATATGCTCTATCGCATAATATTATATTCCCTATCATATACTATCTTATTGTCATTTAAATTTAGTTACTTTTATCTAATCATACATATGCTTCCATCTTCCAGTTCAATCTTGATCTTTATAGTATTTAATATCATATTCAAACCTAATTTGGCATATATTTTCATATAGTATCTTATTGTCCCGTCAGTTCTTTTATCTTCATATACATATTTTCCTATAATATCTCAATTCTGGAACATTCCACATGTTCTTATGCCCAATCTTTAGCTTCTTTCAATCAAGACCTGCGTCTCTATTCTTCTCTTGAAAGTAGAGTAACAAGCAGACCTGCTTGATCAACTACCTCCCCCCCCCCTCCCTTTCAGGCACCCCTTGCCCATATTGTTGCAGCCAATTTTCGGTGTCGTCTCTCTCGAAGAAAAAAAAAAAGGCAAAAGCAAAAATGGGCCATCAGCAAAGTTGATTTCATTTGGGATGTTTACAAACAAAACGCTGCGACAAAACAAAAGCAAACAATTTGCCAGTGGCTGCCCCCCCCCTGTCCCTGCCCCCCCCCCCTGTCCCTGCCCCCCCCTGTCCCTGCCCCCGCCAGAGGAAAATGCAACTCTGCATTTGTCTGCGCGCCGTTTCGGGCGGTTCAATTTTTGCGCGCCAAATGCAGATAAGGCGGAGAGCAACAGCGTCGGACTCGGGTCTCGGCCAGGGTCCAGGCGACGGCCTCGCTGCCGGCTATCGGGTTACATCGCCAGATTGCCCCCAAGTCCCACCCCTCCCCCCCCCCGCCACCGCTCGTACCCCTCTGGCGGCAACAAACTCGCTTTTAATTGAAAAATGCCCGTGCGAGGCGGCGTCGCAGCTCGTAACTTGACATCGAAGTAGGCGACGCCTGGCGGGGGCTAGGGGCTGCAAGGTGGAAGGGTGGGAGAGGCGGGGGGGGGGGGGGGGGGGCACATGGTTTGAGTGCTTGTGGCATCTGTGGCAGCGCACGTGCAACGGGGCTTTTGTCAAAGTGTCGCCAGCGACGTTGCAAATTTTCGCGCTTTTGGCGGGAACTTTTCGCTCCCCCCCCCCTCCCCTCCTCCCCCCGATGCCAACAACTGTGCGGCTTCATATTTATTCACGCCAGCGTGGCATAGTTCCCCTTACCCCCCCTCCCCCTCGACCAACAACTTGTCAGCCTTTATGAAAGCCAAACATTTGGTCGGTTCATGTGAACCCACGCTAATCCATTTTCGCAAAGAGACGGGCCGAGGGACAGTTCAACGGTGGGGTGGGGATGGGGGCTGCTACCTAATGCAAACAGATCTGGCGTTATCTGGAGTCTGGTCTGGCCGGGCTCCGGCTCCGGCTCTGCGTCTGGCGGCGACCGGTTATGTAAGCCGAGCAATTGCCCCGCGTCTTGGCAAAATTAGTTTTATGCAAATGGCGAATGCCACATAAATTTGCTCCATAAAGCTGCAGGATGCAACGCAGGGGAGGGGGGAGGGCGGTGGATTGTGGCAACTGCAATTGGTGACCAATTCGAGTTGGACTTCCACTTTCGCCTTGATGTCTTTTGTGGCCAGAGATTGCGTTACAATGGAAACCAGGTGGGCAGCCAGGTGGGCTAAAAGCCGATAAAGATGATAGACAGACACGAGGCGGAAGAGAGGGGGAGAGGGGGGGGCAGATAGACAGTGTGCAAAAGTGAAATTGAATCAGTTGGAGACCTTAGGCAAAAGTGTTCAACAGCAGCTGAATAAAATTATGCAATTTTCATAAAGACCTCTTTGATCGGAGACTTTAAGAAAGGGAAATCGATAAAGATGATGGATGCGAATCGCAGAGATGAAGAAAGAGAGAGAGAGAGAGAAAAGAGAGCCAGTTAGACAGATAAACAGTGTGCTAAAGTGAAATTGATTCAATGAAGAGTTTAGGAAAAAGTGCTGAGCAGCAGCGGAATAAAACTATGCAGAGAAAGAACTAGAAGAAGACAGGAAGAGAGAAAGAGAGAGAGAGAGAGAAAGAGAAAGAGGGAGAGAAGGAGAGAGAGAGAGGTATATATCTCTCACTAAAAAGTATGTAAAGTAAAATTGACTCAGTGGAGACTTTAGAGAAAAGTGTTGAATAAAATTACACATAGAGAGAGGATGAGAGAAAACAGAACGAGAGAGAATGAGAGATCGAGAGAGAGAAAGAACAAAAGAAAGAGAGAAAGGCATTTAAACAGGCAAACAGTGCACAAAAGAGAAATTGGAGACTTGAGAATTATACAGAGAGAAAGAAAGAACGAGATGGAGACACAGAGAGAGTGAGAGAGAGAGAGAGAGAGAGAGAGAAAGAGAGTGAGAGAAAGCTTGATACAAAACTGGAATTGATTAAATGGAGACTTTGCTAAAATAGGGTTAAACAGCAACTGAATTAAATCAATTGGAGACCTTAAGTTAGACAGAGAGAGAGAGAGATGGAGAAAGACAGACCGTGTGCAAAAATTAAAAAAGAAAACTGTTAAGAGCTTAAACTGAAGTGTTAAACAACAGCTCAAGCTTCATATATTAGCCTGCGATTAAGACAAAGGTTGCCAGATTGTCTCTTTGGGACAACTCAACTATTAAAATCCTTTTGCCATTAACAAATTTGATCTATTCATCGATTAATTGTCAAGCTATTAGCGTGGGCAGGCCATTTGTCAGCAGCTAAATGATATATCAAAATGATCTAAACTCCGTTTCCCAGTATTCCATATACATATACTGTATATATCTACACGGTCGGAAGCTTGCATCATAAATAGCTCAAGTGTGCCCCTCGCCGAGTTTTCAATTCCCAAACCAATTCCAATTCCGTTTTATCGCAGCAAGATATCTGAAATCTAAGCGGGCAGTCAATGCCATAAATCAGACGTTGCCCCATAATTCAGCTGCACGTGGGAGAGGTGGGAGGAGGTGGAGACGGAGGAGGAGGAGGCGGAGTTGGAGACGGAGACGGAGGCGGAGTTGGAGTCGAAGTCGCACGCATTTGGAATTCCATGGCTAAACGATCGTTTAGCGTGTGGCAGGCGGAAGCGTGAGGGGAGGGTAAGCTAGAGGGGTGGGGGGGAGGAAGGAGCTGAAGGACACACGCGCACGTGAGCTGCAACTTGGAGCGGGGGGGGGGGGGGCAGGAGCTGGAACGGGAGTTGGTCACCTTTACCTTTTGCTGTGGCAAGTCAATAATTGCTTTGTTTTTCTTATTGCATCTGGCGGCCTGTTTGACTGCTGTGCGTGTGTGTGTGTGTGTGTGTGCGTGTGTATGTGTGTGTCGACAGGCTGAGTTATCGCTTTGTTTACATGATAATGAAAATGCAGTGCGTGAAGTGCGAGTGTGAAGTGCGGCACGCAACGTGCGGCACGTACGCACTGCCAAGGCAGGCAAAAGACAATGAAGAAGACGAGGAAGAAGAAGAAGGTATTCGCGTTGCAACACTTGAGCAGCCGCAGCCCCTCCTTCCGCCCACTCATTCGAGCTGCCAGCAGTCGATCACATTGCATCATTTTCTTGGTGGCTTTTACCAACCAACCCCTCCCCCTTCCCCTCCGGACACACGCCCCCTGCACCCTGCCTCAGCTGGTGGCACCACCTGCCACAGGGATTAGCGCGCTCACCTGGAGCGCATCCATCACGCGGATTAGCTCGAAATTCCCTTCGACATGGGAAACTTTTCTTCAGGTTAAGAACTAACATATATAAAGATATATATACACACATATGTGTGTGTGTGTGTGTAATTCGTAAGACTTAGTGGAAAATTTCCCCCGAATAAAGTTTTCTTATGCGCCTTCACAGATTGTGCTATCAGTTGTTTGCATTTGTTGTTGTTGTTTTTTATGTTTTTTTTTTATGTTTTAAGGGGTATTTTCCATATTTCTGTTTGATTATGTTTTATTGTTTGGGATTTTTGATATCTAACTGTTGATTGGTAAATAAAATTGCCAAAGGGAATTACCCGATTTGCCGGGAATTTTACAAAAAGTGCGAATATAAGTTTGAATACGATTAGATAAAAAAAAAATAGCATTTATCTGCGAGTTTATTGTTAATGCGATTATGATTATGCTACTATATGATTAAATTAAAAATTATTATAAGAAAAGAATATTTTAGCCTTATAAAATTCATGTGAACCCCCTTTTTTAAAATTAAAAAAAAAATGAGAATTAATAAAAATTGATTTAGTTTAATTTTATGAGTTTTTTTTTTGTGGATCCATCTTCAAGTTTTTGGAAATAATTAAAAATAATTGCAAAATATTATAACAGGGAAATTAACTATTGAGAGGATTTAGTTTTAAAATTTATATTTGTATATATGTATGTGTGTACAGTCAAAACTCTCCCAACGGACACTCTTATTAGGCAGACCCCTCTTGCGCGGACATCTTAAACCTATCAGAATCAGCTCATACCCAATCAGCCTCTATTTAGCGTACAGTTATCTTAAGCAGACGAAAATTACCCAACTGTCGCTGTCCGCTCAAGAGAGTTTTCACTGTTTAGTATACATATACATATACAACAAATATAATATACATATGTAGTAGGTATACTAGTAAGTATTTAGTATAGTATACAAGATAATGTAGGGTATTTCGATTCATATAAATCTACAACAATTTGCGTACTTATACGTACACACATACATACATTCATGTGCGCCCATACATACATAAGTTTGTGTAACGTGTGGTGCATTAAAATCGCATAAAGAATTCCAGACCCACACATTTTGAGCCCAGCTATAGACGAAATGTATTTCCTAGAATCGTATCGTATCTAAGTACAAGCATATTTTTTACCCAACAAACAATACACAGATGTTTATTTGACTTCTGTTTTTTTACGTTTTTGACAAGCGGACTATCGGACTATCGCATCGGGTGTGCGCCTATCGGCAGGCGTCTTTCCAGAATAGTCGGACAGCCCCGTCGTGACCCGCAGCACGCACATCGCCGCGTCAGCCCACACACACACACACACATACGCTCGCACACTAAGCAGAGACAACAGCAACAACAACGAGAAACACAATCTGCACAACAACAAAGCGTCTGCTGCTGCTGCTGCGGCTGCTTCTTCTTGTTGTCTTCAGTTTTTGTTTTTATTTCGTTTTTCGTTACGAGACCTTTTACACGCGCGCACACAACGACATTTCGTCTGCTGGCAAACCCTCCCCAACGTCTGCCCCTGCCTAAGACGTAGACACACACACGCACACACGCACGCAGCACGTAAGCGTTGTAAAATTACAACAGCGCCGAGTACAAGTGAAATTGGCACGAGGCTCGCTCGCTCGCTCGCTCGGCTGCTGTTGTGAAATTCCCATTCCACACACACACACACACACACATACAGAAACATGCACGCACACAGCTGCGACTCGCTCACACGCACACAAATTATAATTGTTTGTTATTCTTTTGTCTCGCTCGCACACTGGTTATCGGATTTCAGAAAGGCGCAGCAGAAGCAGCAGCACAACGGCCAGCAGAAAAAATACTCAAATACTACTGCATACTACGACAACAACAACAAGAACAACAACAGAAAGCAGCACAGCGCCACACTGCGCTCTCTTTGGCTCTCTACACACACTCGCACACAACAAGCGCGGCCCCAACCATTCCATTCATACAACGCATCGCGTAGTAGACAGAGACGGAAGAGCAACAGAGAGTGAGAGAGAGAGATAGAGAGGCGCGCGTACAGACGCCGCCGCCGCCGCAACGAAGAAGAAGAAGAAGGAAAACAAAATTATTTACGATTTATTTTGATCCACAGCCGCTGGGCGAGGGGTTTTTATGTCAGCGGCAAGTCGGGGCGGCTCCGTGTGTGTGTGTACTCGAATCGGATTGGAATGGCAGCGCAGCGGGTACAGTTGGCAATGGTACGCAGAGAGCGTGCAGTAATTTGTTAAGAGAGCGCCGCACAAATGAACTGTGGAACGTAAGTGTTCATTTTGCGCGCTACTCTTCTGGCCCAATGCCACCATATTCCTATGGGAAACGAAATGGTAAATGGCGAGTGCTCTATTGCTCTCTTATGCCATGCATACACTTTCGTAACATTGCCTCTTCGCGCTTGCCTGCTCTGTTTTTGCTGGCATTCTGTCTCTCCCCACTCTAGTTCGTTACAAACTGCTTCTTCTTGCGACCGCGACGCGTCGCTGCTGCGCTTCTGCTGCTGCTGCTGCTTCTGCTGCCGCGGTTGCTGCTGTTGTTGTTTTTCGTTGTAAACTGTACGCGAGTGGTTTTTGTTGTTGTCGCCGTTGTTGCTGTTGCTTGCGAGTACATTTTACGTTACGTTTGTAAAATTGATCAACTCGCGCTCCCCCTCGCCACGTTTCCCTTGCCCATTCTCATTCCTATTCCCATTACGAGTTCATAAAATTAGAAATGTAAAGTTTATTGGCGCGCTTTCGGTGTCTTCCCCACACACACACACACACACATACAAATGCAGCCAAGGTGTGTACACACTGCAAGCGGGAGTCTTTTGTCTTTTCTCTCTGTCTGTCATCTCTGTTTAATGCTCCTTTTCTTCTCCTTCTTCCTCTTCTTCAAATGCAGCTCAAATCAAAATAAACAATTTCTGTTCCTATTTTCTTCCCGAGTTGAATGAACCAGACCAGTGGCGGTGTGAGGGCGGTGATACAGAGGGGGGAGACCCCCACTTCGAATTTGTCGCTTTAATTGCCGTAAATACAATGTTAAAGTTAACGTTATTTATGTGTAAAAACAAATGTGAGACCATTTGAATAACAGCAGAAGCCTGTGATAGAGAAGGGGGAGGGGGAGGGTGAGGGGCGGGGGGTTTGACTTTAGTGTAGATAAGATATTGGAATAGTTGCGCTCATAACTCAGTGACAAGTGACTTCAAGTTTATTATAAACAAAATCATTTGAATATTTATTAGCAATAAAAGGCACACAAAAACACAAAGACACTAAAAGAAATCAATCAAAAAAACCAACCCTGAACGCTGAAGAAGAAGCAGATAGCAAAGGAAAAGCACGACAATGGGAAAATTGAATATATGTACATAAAAAACTGTAATGTGCGTGATGAGTGGGAAATATAGCTGTAAATTGGAGATATTAGGACGGGAATTTGGACGCAGGGCTGGGGGGCAGAGAGGGTCGCGCCTAATGTTAGCTGTTCGTCTATTGTTTGTCACGTTTATTATGTATTTTATTATTTTATTTTGTGATTAGAATTGAACTGAAGTGAAATATTTAAAAAATGTCCCAAATCATGCATATTTGGCGGTTCATTAACGGTTATAGGGATATTTTCGCTTTATGTTGCGTAAAAAGATCTCACTCTTCCAATCTCTTGGCACGTGCTTTAAGCAGGACTCTCTTAATTTACATATGTATATGTAGAATGCTCTTAACGATCTTGCGTTGACTGCAAAGCTTCTCAAACAACACCAACACACACACATACACACTCACCTTTAAGAGTTAATTCGTTAACCGTTAATTCACTTCAAATTTCCCACTCTCAGTTCGAGTCGGCTCCAAAGTCCAAATGCGACTTGGCTTCCATTCATTTCCAGACAAAGCTTCAATTACAGTTTGCAGCTGTTGTTTTTGTTTTTGTTGTTGCTGTTGTTGTTGTTGTTGTCTTGCTCTTTCTGCTTTGTTATCTGCTTTGGCACATTGCATAACGGTTTATTAGTGAAGGCTGTTCAGCAACAACAACAATAACGAACAAATGCCAAAGCACGTTTCCAGCCATTTCCAATGCCAAAAAATTTTGTTATTGTTTACACTGAAACGCATCTGTTTTTCCATTGCAATTTTTAATGGCCTTACCTGAACAACAACAAAAAGAAGAAGAAGAAGAAGAGAAATTAAACCAAAGAGAAAACGTAAATAAATAAATAAAAATATGTATAAAATTCTTTGGCAATGAGTTCGCAATTCGTTTCTGCTTCTTCATTTCTGTCCGCCCGCATTTCGTTAGTTTGCACAATTTATGCAATTTTATTATGCAAATTGGGTTTTTTTTTTCAAGTCTTAATATTATTTTTATATCGGCGTATTTCCAGAAAGCAGAAAGCCATTAAAAATGGCAACTTTCGGAATGCTCAATTACGACGAAAAATGTTTAAAAATAAATCATCAGCGGCGAATTCGCAGAAATTCACTAAGCTGAACGTTACAACAACAACAACAATAACAAATAAAGTCATTTGGGAAAAGCCAAAGCTGAAGCAGTTAATGCCGCTGGAAGCACTGGAAAGAGACAGCAAATGAACCGCATTCAGTTTAGCGGCAACTGAAGATTCCAAGGGGGAATTTTCTGCTAACCATATTCCAGGTTATACATATGTACGTAATGCGGTATTTAAATAATACTGCAGTGATTTGTTGTTGTCTGGCGCCCGTCTGGAATTCGGAATTTTTTAACTAGAATCAACAATGATTATCAACAATTCACATTAAATCCAACAGCTGTGGCTATGCAATTTAATTAATTTTCTAATTTCAATGAACCTGATTCCACGATTTATCGACAGCCCAAGCGATAACCTGTCTGTAAAAGCATTATTTAACGCTATTTAAATGTAAGATCTATCTACATATGAAAACGTTGCGATTAGTGTTAGATAATTTTTATATAAACTTGATCTATTGACCAGCTTCCGGCTTGAACTAAAATATTGCAAACTGTTTGTGATAAAAATAGTTGCCAGACATGAAACTATTTGCAAAATTTGCAAACTTTTCCTTAGATCATTTTGGAACTTTACTATTTTTCTTTAAAGTTTAGAACGTATCTTGAAATTGTAGATTCCTTGTCTTTTGGCTCTAGTTCCATTCTGATTATACATTCTGTACATACATTTTTTCGAAATCTACATTTCTTGACATTTTTTATGAAACTATCAAAAAACCCGCATTTAATACTGTTGGAAATATATTACAATAAATACATATATTAATAATTTTAAATTTGTAATCCCAAAATGATATAACTTTCATCGTTTGAGAGGGTTCAAAGTTTTATAGAAGGATCTTTTTTCTAGTCTAGAACTGTCGACGATTTTCCTGAGCAGCGCCATTTTGAAAATGGTTTTCCCACTATTTGCGATTTCCCTATTATACGAACACGCTTTCACGGAAAACCAAACTTTCTTAAAGTTAGACAAAATTATGAGAAAGTGCTATTTGTGCGACAATTTCCGCGACTCTGCGATGTTTCTCAGTAAGAGATAAGTTTTCCCGGGAAAAACTTGTCATCAAAGTAGCCATAGATATCATCTTTCAATGTGGGTGCAATTCCTGAAAATTCAGCGAGCTGCAAATGTTAAAAAGGTGCCCGAAATAGATGCCAGCTCTGATTCTCCTCTGCCCTCTCCTCTGCCCTCTGCTCTTCAACTGCAGTTGAGCAATTACGAAATGTCACAAATAATTTTCTCGAAATGTTTTCTTTTTTTTTCTTTTGGTTTCTTTCAGGAAACTAGCCCCCTCTGCCCGGACAGTGGGCCGTCGGGCGGCGAGACTTCCGGGTCTTTGCTTTGAGATGACAAATGATGACATGAGAATTTCTCTGTACAAAATTGACATGTGAAGGGTGCGAGTCCAAATAGAAACAATATGAATACGCTTTTGCCAAAATACTTGGAAAGTGCAACGACGAGATGTTGTCTAGTTCCCGCACCCGCCTCCGCCCCCCGCCTCCCGCCTCCCCCTTTGGGCAGCTGTCACCATTTGAGGCGTGGCGCAATGATGACCAATTACTTGGAAAATGCAACAAAGTTGCAAGCAAAATGCCCGAAGGCAGCTCTTTGCCAGCGAACCCCACAAATGTCAGCTATTAAGTGACAGGCCAGGCGGCAGCCAAAGCGGGGGGAGGGGGGAGAGGAGTGTGGGGGGGGGGGGGCTGGCAAGTGGCATAGGATTGCCGCAAATTCAATTTCCGCAACACAACAACACAGCGGCAGGCAACAGCCCGCAACAGACTGTGCACTGAGAGAAAATTGTAAAAAAAATAAAATAGCTCGAATTTTGGTAAGCTGCAAATGAACTGCATATTTCAAGCCAGACTGGAAATTGAACCAGTTCGCAGCCGGAACAAAGACTTAAGCTTAATTTGGCTAGAACCAAAAACTGATCAAGAACATATTTTGATCTAAATTTAGTTTTCCTTAAAATTATTTTTTTTTTCTCTATTTATAAATATTTTTCAGAATTTCTTAATTATTTTTATGTATTAAAAATAATTTTAAACTTGAAAATATATTTTCAAACTTTTTAGGTGCGATAAAATTAAAATAAAATAAATTTGACCTAAAACAATTTCTTTTGTCTTATTTAAAAATACTTATCTTATTTATTCCCAGTTGTACTAAAGATTAGCAAAAATGTTTTGTACTTAAATTAAGCTTAAGCTCATTTTCAGCATGCAACTTCTTGATATAAGCATTTATCTACTTTTTGTAGATTTCACTTAATTTAAGAATATTCTAACTTCAAGATATTGGGCTTATATTCTCTCCTAGTTTTAGTTGAATTCAACAAAAATATTTTGAAATTAAATGAAGCTTATTTTCAGCTTGCAAATTCTTGATAGAAGTATTTATCTACTTTTTGTAGAATTCCATTCTAGTTTCATGCTAAACTTAAGAATATTCTAGCTTAAAAATTGTTGCTCTTAGATTCTCTTCCATTCTCAAAGGCAGGAGAGTTTTTCTTTGAGTGCAGCCGAACGAGCTGCCATCAAAAACCTCAAGACCCCAAAAGTCCAAAACCATTCGCACATTGTCGCCCCAACTCCTTGCACCCCCTCCCCCTCCCCCTCCCACTCCCTCTCCTTTGCTCAGCTCCCCTCTGGCTGCAGCATTTTGGCTTTGGTGTTAATTGCTGTCACAGTGCAGGCGACAGGCAAAAGGATGCGCATCCATGCGGGCTGCCCCGCCCCGCAGCCGCCCCTGAGGCCCCAACAAAACTCCGTTTGACGATTCAATTGCGAGCAAGTGCAGCAGCTCCCCACCCAGCTGCCCCCCTCCCCCCGCTCTTCCCGCAGCGTTGACACTTGTCGCCGACTGCGATTTCGTGTGCACATCCTCTCCTCTCCCCCCTCCCCTCTTCATGTGGCTCTCATCTGTCATAAGTGATTTTTACAAAGTGTTTGTCTGCGTGAATTGTTGCGCTTTTTTTCGGGAGGATTTACAACGTGTGCCACGTGACATTCGCCTGACACTTAACGGACACTTGCCACTTGCCACTTGCCCCTTTTGCATGCCCCGCTCTTCGTTCTTACCCGCAAAGTACGCATACGCCACGTAAAGCGAGAGGCAGAAATGAGCGACGTTTACGATTCCCTGGAAAATTCATATCAGGCATGCAACACAAGTATCTTTAAAGATCAGTTTAAGGCTTAAGCCACGCCCATTCAAACTTTGACCTCCTGACACTGGAGGCATGGACTTGCCATTAAGTCTAAAATACGCTTCCAAAACTCTTTGAACAAGAGATTGAAGTCAATCGCATTGTAGATAAAAAAGTTCCTTATACAGTTTTTCACTTATTTTCCACGCTTGCGGGTGGAATTGAAACGAATAACACAATTTTTTCTTAACTGCTATGAAAATGTCAGCCTACGTACTTTAACAGATTGTAATCAATCAGTCAGTCAGGATGTAGCTTGGGGATCGGTTCGATTATAGATATCACATTATATATATAAGGAAGTTCCTTCTTTATCTCTCTCTCTCTCTCTCTCTCTCTCTCTCTCTCTCTCTCTCTCTCTCTCTCTCTCTCTCTCTCTCTCTCTCCCTCTCCCTCTCTTTCTCTCTCTCAGCTTCAATCAAAGTCATGCAAATGGTGATTGAGGAGAATGCAACGAAAAGATTCTCAACACGCAAAAAAAAGTAGCTGCTACTTTCCATCTTGCAACGCTTGAAACTCGTTAACTTTGTTGTTGTTGTTGTTGTTGTTGTGGGGCAAACATTGTCGCCGGCTGTAAGGCAATGGGAAACCCGTAAAAAGTGCAACGCGGCGTATGAGCAACTGGCTCGGGGATTATATCAGCAGGAGGCAGCCGACTCTGGCGCCAGCCTCGCCGTCGACTCTACAAATAACGAGCGCAAAATGTTTACGAGCATCAAAATAAAAGAATGCAACGGAATGTAATAAAAGAAATAAAAAAAAAACAGCGAGCGTGGCACATGGAAAAAATTGCAGTTGGGGGGAGGGGGGGGGGGGGTTGCTGGGGGCTCAGCTGGTGCGGGGCCACATTGTGCTGAAATCAGGGTGAAGGTTAAGGTGTTTCCTTAATGACTTATGCACAAATGCATTTAATAGTCCAATAAAATGCGATATTGCGAGGGAGAGCAAGAGATCTACAGAAGGTTAGGAATAGAAAGAAACAAGAAGAAAGAATTATAAGAAAAACAAGTAAAAGGGCTCTCTTCGGGAGTGTCCGACTAAGGTATACCCTGAACATTCTTCTGCCAACAACAAATGCAGTAAGGCTAGCTATTAAATGAAAGATACTTAATCTGTTTATATTATTATAAAAGTTACTTGTCAAGTTTGTTGTCTCTAGCTCTTAAAACCAGAGAGATTTGCTCTTATAGGTTCTGAGATCCTTGCGTCCATACACACGGACAGGCGGACAGACGGATAGACGGACGAACGGACAGACAGGCAGACACGGCTAGATCGACTATATGTACTTAATTGGGTCGGAGATCTATAAAGAAAGCTTTATATTCTACCATAGACGCTGCTTGAAAATTGCATCTGGATTTGAATTAGCGACTTCTCGCTTGGCAGTCCGACGCTTAAACGGTTTCTTAAACTAC